GGGAAGGGCAGGCGGGGAAAGGGAGGGGGGGGGAAGGCGGATACAACAAGGGAAGAAGGCGAGGGGGTGGAAGAGGAGGAGGAGATGCGAGAGATGGAGGCACAAGTGAAGAGGCTGGAGGAGGCAAGAGATGGCAGGTGAGGCATGTGTGTGCCAAGCCTGCTAGGAGCAGCAGCATGGTATGGCTGCCGTGTGCCGCACATGTGCATCTGCTTGCGTGTGTGGCACGCATCTCTTTGTGATGTGCGAGAGCATACTGCCTGCCTTCCACATCGCCCATATGTTCTCCGCCCTCTCGTCTTGCATACGTTCTTCCCCCGTGCGTTCCATCCTGCCACAGGCAGGTGGAGGTGCAGAGTGCGAGGAGGGAGAGCGATGAGGCAGCGGAGGAGGAGAAGACGCTCAAGGCCAAACGTGGGAAGCTCATGGCCTCGCTGGTACGGCACTGCTGCATGTTTTGCCGCTCCTTAATGCTCCACCATGCTGCCTCCATCGTATACGCTTGCATGCCTCCCCAATGTCATGGTATGCGGCTGATCAAATTGTATTTCAGCCTGTTTGTGCGCCTCGTATTCTTCTTCTCGTGCTGCTCCCCGTTTCGCTTCCCATGCTGCTTCCCATGCTGCTTCCCATGCTGCTTCCCATGCTGCTTCCCGTGCTTCGTCCCACATGCATCATCCGGCACCTGTATCCGCCTGCTTGAGCATTTGAGCATCTGGGTCTCCTTTTTGCACGTGTACCTGCTGCGGTGGTATGGTGGCAGGTGAAGCTGCAGGGCAGTGCAGTAGAGGCAAGGCAGCAGCTAGCGGACCTAGAGGCAAGGCTGGAGCGAGCAGCAGCGCTGCTCAAAGAGTGCGGGGGGAGCGAGGGGAAGAGAACTGGTGGTGGTTCCAAGGGAGAGAAGCAGGGGAGCCGTGGTCCCAGCCAGAGCAGGCGAAGGGTGTGTAGAGGGCAGAAGGGGAAGGGGAGGAAGGGGACACGGAAGGGTGGAAAAAAGGGAGCAGGACGCAAGGGGAAGGCAGAGGATGCAGGGGAAGTGGTGAAGGGAGAGGGGCCAGTGCTGAGAAGGTCAAGCAGACTTCAGGCGGCAGTAGACGGGGTGAGCAGCAAGGGCCGAGGGCGCTTGGAGAAAGGGGAAGAGGGTTCGATGGTTAGCAAGGGCAAAGGAGAGGTGAAACGCGGAAAGGGTGATGCGAGCAAAGGAGGAGGTGACGGGGTTGAAAAGCAAGGGGAGGTGGTAGGGAAAACATACAGGAGACGAAGGGGTGCACTGAAGGATGAGGGTGAACGGGTGGGGGCGGTGCATGGGCTGGGGGATGCGGAGGCAGTGAAAGGTGGTGAGGAAGGAGAGGGCGGGAAGGGTGCTGCAGCTATGGACGTTGATGCGAGTGATACGAAGGGTGAAGGGAAGGGGGTGAAGCGAGATAGCAGAAGGACAAGGGTGATTCGGAAAGCGGAGATCAAAGAGGGGCGCAAGGGAGAGACGGGTGAAGTGGAAGAGGGAGAAAATGAGGAAAGGGGAGCAGAAGAGGTGGATGAGGAGGAGGAAGAGAAGGAACAGATGGAGGAGGGGGAAGAGGAGGAGGGGGAAGAGGAGGAGGGGGAAGAGGAGGAGGAGGAGGAGGAAGAGGAAGAGGAGGAGGAGGAGGAGGAGGAGGAGGAGGAGGAGGAGGAGGAGGAGGAGGAGGAGGAGGAGGAGGAGGAGGAAGAGGAGGAGGAGGAGGAAGAGGAGGAGGAAGAGGAGGAGGAAGAGGAGGAGGTGGAAGATGCAGATGGTGGCATGGAGGGCGAGGAGGAGGAGGATTGTGGAGGTGTGTCCCTGGAGGAGGTGGTGGAGGAGGAGAAGGAGCTCATGAAGAGAAGAAGGTGAGATGGCCCTGTCGATTTAGGAGGTTTATCCTCAACCACTCACACTGTGACTTCCCTTTCTCGCCTGCTCCTGCGCTGCCAGCATGCGTTTCACCACTATTCACCCCCCCTACCCCCATCACTCTCGCCCTCTTCTGTCCTGCACCATCACCTTATCCTCGCATCCGCCTGGCCGTGCTCTCCCCACACCGTGTCACCCGTGCAGTGCCATAAACGCGGCAGCGCTGCAGGAGGACGTGGGGTGCCAGAGGCGGCTGGTGGCGGTGGGGGAGGAGGTGCAGCGGGTGGAGGAGCAGGCGCGCACGCATGCAGTGCGGCGCGAGGAGCTGGAGATGCAGCGCTTCACTCAGCTCAGAGGGGCCCTGCTCAAGGTGCGTGTGTCCCTCTGGCTCTGCCACACTTGCATTTGCTGCACCTGCGGTGGGTATCCCAGGGATTGCTTGTGCCGGCTGATCTGCTTGCCATGCGTCCTGAGCTCACTATTCAACCTTACTATGATATGGCCTGCTGGTGTGTATGGTGTGCACATGTGTGTGCATGTGCATGTGCATGTGCATGTGTGGGGCAAGCCGTTCGGGTGCAGGTGAACGAGCAGCTGTCGGCCAACTACTGTCAGCTGACCCGGCATGGAGATGCGTACCTGTCGTTCGTGGATGAGAAGAGCCTGCTCTTCTCCGATGGCGTGCACTTCCATGGTACTGTCCTGTGTCACCTACCACGCCCTGCCTGCACTCAACCCCCATGCTCTGCATGTTCTGCCTCTCCTCCTTAGTCATCACAGTAATCACTGTCCTTCACGTCTTAACCAGCCTCTCGCTGCTCCCCTCACTTGCCATGCCGTGCCTCTGTTCTGTAATGCAACACCCCACTAGGTTTTCACCCTTTTCATACATCCACGCCCATCCACCCCGCTCTTCCCACCCTGCACCTCCCACCCGTCCATGCGCCCATTCAGTTCGGCCTGACCGCCAGTGCTGGCGGCCGTTTGCCTCTCTGTCAGGCGGGCAGCAGGCCCTGGCATGCCTGGCGCTGTCGTTCAGCCTGCAGGCGTCCTTCCCCTCGCCCTTGTACTTCTTTGATGAGATCGATGCATCGCTGGACACCAAGCACGCCCTGCATGTCGCACGCTTCATCCAGGTAACTCTCTTCACTTCGCACTCGCACTTGCTTGGGCTCTTCTATTAACCTGCAGGAGAACCCAGCATTATTGCGTGTGGAGTTACCATGTAATTGCCTGGTTGCACCTATGAGCAGATACTTCCTTGTTCCGTGCCTTTGGCTTCTCGTATGTCTATAGTTTTGAAGTTTCCCTTTCCTTCTCTTGTTTCACGGGTGCCTGCAGGCGCAGCAGTCAGCACAGTACATTGTGGTGTCCCACCGTCCGCAAGTGTATGAGCAAGCAAGTACACTGGTGGGAGTGTACAACTTCAAAGGGAGCTCCACCTGCCTCACTGTTCATGCAGACAGCCCCGTGCCACCCATGCTTGCTGCAGAAGAGCGGAATGGATCCACTGCTTAGAGACTGCAACCGTCTCACATAACAGAATGGAGAGCGGAACCCGAGATGCCATTATCATACCACGCCACTGGTTGCCATTGCCTCTCCTCTTTCCTTGCTTGAGGTTTCAGGCTTCTCAGACATCCATGAGAATGTTGCTGACTGGTATATACCGTATTTCACCTAAACTACTAAACAATACCATCTTCTTCCTAGGCGACGAATGTCCATCCACATGGTCGAGCACAGCATGGTTGTACAAATGTGTGACTGAGGGAAATACATGGCTTTAGGGCGTATCTCACTTCGGGTCATAAGGCCTCTTTGGGGCATCACTGTACACTTCGGGTCATGGGAGGACCAATGGTATTCGAGTAGTGTATCTGAAATGTGCCTGATTGGTCTTCCAAAAATCTCGGATGACCCAAACAGTGCATGACCCGAACCAAAGATACGCCCTTATGTTTTACACATCTACGTCTGCAGCTTCAGCGTTGGTGCGTTTTGTGAACGACTCGGTAGCAAGGCTCCATTGTTCAGGGTGTTTTACCCTGTATGCCCTGCCAAACAGGGTGTTTTTTTGGTGCGACCCTGCCAAAACTGGGTCCCCCCAGGACGTCACCCGGCCACAATCCGAGTGCCTTTTAATTTTATACGGCTGAAGCAGGCTTGCCATGGTTTTAACCCTGCACGTGAGGAGTTCCTCAAAGAAACACCCGGCCACTTTGCGTACGTGTTCCTGGGATTCAGCTCACGAAACACCTCAAAGTCCCATGGGCCGTTCCGCTGAACACCATGTGTGTCGTGAAAAAGCGTACTGAGGCTCGCAGAGACAGATGTAGAGCGGAAAAATCACCCTGCCACAAATCAGGTGTGGCAAAAAAACACCCTGCCACTACCCTGATTTTGCCGCTTGCCACTCGGCTTGGCCGGGTGGCGGGCGGCGGGAATCCTGATCTGGAAGAGTGCCCTAAAATGAAAAGAGAGCCCTGCTCGGTAGAGGGGTCAAAGCCCATGCAAAAGACCCATGAGAGGATGATTGGGCGGGGAAGGGTGCCGCCACAATTTGGCGACGAGCTCAGCGTCGTGTTGGGGCTGCAGTGGCAAGGCGACGACGACGCCTTCGCAAGCGGCTCGTGAATCGTGAATTGTGGTGAGCCGTGATTGATGGGATCGAGGGTGCGCGACTCCTGGGGCCCTTCGCGGGAGATCCCAACCAACTAAACCACATTGTGGGCCGCCAAGCGCGTGTGGGCGCCTCGCTGATTGGTGAATATCAGATGTATGCGACGAATAAGGTCAGGACTAGGAGTCTGCGACTACCCGAAACCTTCGCTGTCGTCGTGCGACTGAGAGCACTTGACACCACCCACCACCCCGCTCCGCTCCACCCCGCATTCGATTTCAATTCACATTTGACTCGCTTTGCTGCTGCTTTCCCACCCACACTAGCGAACTCCTTTCTAGCGCTTGTGAAAGGCAGTTTGCATTGCAAGCATCAACTGGAAAACAGGAACAACACTGCGCATTCCTCGGTCACTGCGAGCCGAAACTACTTGAGGCCTCCCTTGTTGAATCGGCCAAACGAAAGCCATTCATCGACGCCCCTTCCCCATTTACCATTGCCGCCGCC